CCACTGCACTCCAGTCTGGACGACAGAGTGAGACTCCAACTCAAAAAACAAAACAAAACAGGACACTAGCGTGCTGGGGCGCCACGATGTTGTTAGACATGGACTGCAGCTCCGCTATGGATTACACGGGCCTTTGGCGTTGACCTAGAAACCTAGATGCCCCATGTCTAGGTCGACCCTTCCCATGAGGCCAGGAGCCAAACTCCAATGTGGAGCCTGGCCTGTTGGGAACCTTCCCCCATCCCCCTCAGCCCCGCCCCTCCATCCGCTACCCAGAGCAGCACTCTGCCACTGCTCCTGAAGAGAATGCAGCTGAGTTGAAAGTGTCCTGATTCACTTCCTCCCTGAGAGAACGGGAGAGCCTGGGTACAAGGGAGATGCCCAGTCCTACTCTGACACGAACCAGATGCCCATGATGGTGCTAGTCCTGTTTTCAAACTTGAGGAATTACTCACACCTAACAGCTGGGATTAAGAAAGGTCTACATTTTAATTTTCACTAAATACATTCCGCTATAAAGCTCGAGAAGCAAGAGAAAATTTCTAGCATAAGAAGTTGGGATAAATAAGGAAATGCTGGTATCACCACAGGGGCTGTGGCTGGCTGGCAGCAAGGTGACAAAACCGTACCTGTGAAAAAGGAAGTGCCTTTAAGTTGAAGAGCATAAGGAATGTGCCATAGTAAAAGCAATGTCTGAGTAATTCCCCCCACAGAGGCTGGACACAAGCATTAAACAATAATGCTCAGTCTAGGTTTCCACAGTTACCTGGCTTCTTTCTTCATATTAATTTATCCTCACAGAAGGAGGCTGGTTGTTCTACCCCTTCATGTCAGGACAGTGGGAAAGTCTTTCTGAATACAGCAATTTCCAAATCAGGACTCTACAAATTATTCTGAATGCGGCTGGTCAAGCTTGCTTGTGCAGTTAACCACATTACAGGCTAACACATATCAACAAATCCTGTATTTTCTTGAAACGGTAGCCCCCCCCAAAAAAAAACAGCTCAGTGGAATCAGTCATGACCCATTTGCAATTGCAGCTGAATCATATTACATCAATGGACAAATGGGCCTCAGATAGAATTGTCCCACAGAGCTTTCGCCAAAGAGTACCTTTACCAACTCACTACTTGCTAAATCAACACTAACCTTACTTCTTTCAGCTTCTGGGCTAAAAAACCAAAATCATGTCATCAATTTTGGAATTTCAAAATGTAAAATGCAGAACACTGAGGAAAAAATCAACTGAGTTTTGGAAAGAAGTTTAAGGTTTTTATCTATTAGCATTCATTTTTTTTTTTACTGGAATCGTATCAGGCAATTTTGAGAAAAATACAAAATAGCTGCTCCAGGACACAAAAACCAGGTCATTTTGTCTTTTTATTTTTCAGCTGTTGAAAAAGAGCTGAAACATCGCAGAGAAGGATGAAAGTCCTCTCAGGGTTCTCCCGGTGCGAGTCAATCCCCATCTGGCCAACAAAGAAGATCCCGCTTCCTGTGTAAGGGCACATCACAGCCCCACAGCGACACAGGCTCTGGGACGGCGGCCCATTTGCGCAACAGAAGCCTCACTGAGGGCTTCGCTGCTCTACAGGGGCCCGCTGGGTGTGGCAGCTCTCCTGGAGTGCGAGTTGGGACCTCACACGCAAGCAAAGTCCTGAGACTCCTTCCCTTGCTCCTCTCTTCTCTGCCTTCTGAATTCCTGCCTTGAACAGTTTAATCAGGGGAACTAATGGCTGGCATTAATCACACTTCTAATTATTGGGACATGCAAGACCATTTTTGAGTCACCTGTTGAATTCAGTGAGTTTTTTTTTTTTTTAGGAAAGCAGAATTTATTGAGAGGACAGAAAAGCTCCCACAGTGGAAAGGGACCTGAGGGGGTTGCCCTCAACGCGTCTTTTAACCCCAGAAAGCAAGTGTGTGCATAATCATCTCCTGCGACAATGCGTTCACCCAGCACAGGCCATGCACATGGGCTTAGCAGGGCACGCAGACAAGCCAGAGAGGCACCAGCACCCAAGCCCTACTGACCCCCAGCAAAGCGCAGGCAAACCAATGACCTGCTGGGGGAGCTGCTTAATGCCTTCCAGCCTATGGGAGCAAACCGATTTTTAAAAACCACAGATGCAAAGGAGGAATATGGTGAAAATCTGATTCTAGCAAGAGCAATGTTCAGGACTCATATTTCATACACTTGACACGGGAAACTCCGCTTCATTACAGAGATTACAATACCTGGTTCTATATTCTCAGCCAAGGCATCTTTTCAAGAAAATTAGTGCTTTTTATATCTGGTCTCTTTCCAAAGTGAACAGGACCTGGAAAAACTTAGCGATGAGCTACATCTTCCCACATGTCCATTAAACACACAATACGACCTCAAAAAAATGTGTAATGTTTAAATATGACTTTCACTGTTTCATAAACTTTGAGAATGTCCAAGTTTGTTAGTGGTATTCCAAAAACCAGTGAGACACATTTACAAATCTCTCACACACTTCTGGTTCCATATAAAATACCACCAAGGGGGTGTGGTTAGCTAACCATCTGGCAGACCATTTGATTTAAGCTCAGGGATTCAGAAAACGTCTCTCTTTCTTTCTAATTCCGATTCCTGCAGTTAACTCATGGAGGTCATTAGATGAATCCCATCACCTTTCTGGGCGTTGGTTACCTAATCATATAAACAGGCAGGACTGGCGCTGTCTGTTCACAGCAAGCCTCATGGTCCTCTCACTTCCTGCAGTGCAAGTGTGTTTACTTGTCAGAAACATCTGACGACTGACTGACTTTCCCAAAGGGTAACTGGGCCTTCATGTCCACCAATCAGTACATATTCTGAGGTCAGAACTGGGATGACTCAGAAGTACCTGTTCCCTCCGTCACAGAGCCTGACAGTTTAGTTAGAAGAGCCCATGCGACTGCTCTGCTCAGCCGAGTGAGGAAATGCCCCCAAAGCGATCAGACCCGTGTGTACTGAGAAGACGACAGCCGTCACCACCGTGTCAGGCTCTCACACCACATGCATCTCACTGTGCCGTGGAGGCAGGGGGTGAGACTCACGCACGCACTCCACAGAAGGACTCATGGCTGGGCAACAGCAGGAGCAAGGCCTGGTCCCATGATGGCCGGGCACAAAGCCCTGGCTTCCTCACTGGCGTTCTGACTCCCAGCCCACATTTTACAGACTCCCCTGTCACCTTGCCTCTTTCTTCAGAAGTCCCCCAGCACTAAAATATTTACCCGTTCATCACGCAATCCAGGGACCAAGATTCACGCTCAACTAAGTTGACTGATGTGGAAACACAAGTCCACAGACACAGATCCTACTTTTCAAGAGAATAAGCCTACATTACATAGCGTGCAATTCATATAAATAAAAATAGTCTGACGCCAGGCTAAGGAGTTTTATAATTTGTTAAATTAGCCCGTACATTCACTTGACAAAGTGTGCCGGTTCTGAAGCAGAAAGGAAAACCCAAGCCCAACCTTCTGCCCAGACAGGGATTCTTCATGGATGCGCACACTTGCACCACGGCAAGGCAGCTGCTTTGTGGGGTGGCCCATTCCACTGCCAGTGCCCTCGGACTCAGTGTCCTCACCAGTGAAAGGAGGTTTTGGGTGACTCACGGGTGCATGTCGTGTGCCATGATTAGAGCTGAAGAATCTTGATGCCTAAGCCCATCTGGGGCAGTTCTGAACCACCACCAAGGAAAAACCCAAGGGCAGATGCCATGGAAAGATGACCTTGCAGGGACCCTTAAGACGTCAACCACAACACACCACAACCTCTCAGGGCCCTGACACACGCCCGCAACCATGCATGTCAACATTCCTCAAACGTCACAAAATTGGGAGTTTGTGCTGCTTCTCCTGGGAACCTCTGTCTGGAGGTTCTGCAGCCCGAGGGCCTGCCGTACACCTCTGGACTCGCCAAGGGCGGGCTCTCGTGTCACTCAAGCATGTACACGGAGATGGGTTATTAGTGACATGCCTACATAGGGAAGGTTCTCTTTATGACTCTCAGAAGAATGCTGCTGGTATCTTTTGGGGCAGGGATGTGAAGCAGATTGGACTGAGAACTGAGGGCGGAGTTCGGAGCACATGCACCGTACCTGCAAAATCTTTCTACCTAGGACAAACGTCTGGTCCAGGGACAGGGTTTCCAAGGCCAGCCTTTCGACTTACTGGCCCGGCTCATCTATCACTGCTGATGCTAAAAGTGACAGGAAGATTGATGCTTGAAGACACGGAGGTCATGCCGCAACAGTAATCCTTCAGTGAACTTTTCTCATCCAAAGGAGAGACACCCAGAGCTCAAGGCTAATGGATTTGGCAACTGGGATTATGCACTCTGATGGCGATTGCTGGTGATGAACAAATGCTCGCTTCCAGCATGGCCTATCTGTCATCAGTGTGTGCGGGATTGGCCTGTGAGAAGTTAAGAAAGCT